TTGCTGCTCTAAATTGGTTGCTCTGTCAGCTAAAGGCATTTTTTAGAGTCTCTATACTATATGTTTTGTTTTCCATTCATCTGAACAACTTATGGAAGCCATGCTTTAGAGTTACAGGCAGGGGCAATGAATTAAGAGAAATCACATGGAGCTGTTGGCAATGGGCCCACAGAGGGAAAAACGATCCTGTGCCAAGGTTACAGAGAACCAAGAGAGAAAGCTCTTTGTGTCATTCTGGGAAAAGGCCTGCAATCATGACCCCTTTATATTAATTAAGTTTAAAATATTTTACATTTTTCCTAGCTTTAACATAAATAAGCAAAAGATGCATAGTTTCAAAGTTTAGGTTTTCTTCTGTTGCATAGTAAAAAAAAAAGGAATGATATGAATCTCTGACTCTGAATTCAAAATATCACATATGACATATCTAAAGGAATGCTCTGCCTTCTCCATGGATCCTAGTTTTAGGTGAACAGAGGGGGAAATTCCTAGTTTGGAAAGCCCAGCTCCTGAAGAGAGGGGGAGGAGCACTGGTATAAAACAAGAACATGTGGCTGGAAAGCTCAGAGCAAAAGCTTGTCTTGTCTCCAGCATGGCGCCTAATCTTCAGGCTGTCTGTCAGCTTTCTTTCCTGAGCCTCTGCTGTCTGCTCCTAGCAGGTAAGAATCTATTTTTTGTCCGAGGCTTAAACACAAGGCAAAGCAGGTTGTTGTTCTCTCCTGCAATAAACCGGGTGAGCTTGGACTCTCACTCTCGCTGCGCTGTATTGAATTAATCTTTAATCTTGCTTTGTGTCTGTGCAGTGAGGGAGACAGAAAGCACATATTTTCCTGGAAGATGTTTGTGTCCAGAGACGCAAACAGGAGTCAGGGGGCAACTAATAGACCTTAAAGTATACCCCAAAAGTGCCACCTGCAGCAACATCACAGTCATGTGAGTACCAGGCACTGTGAAAACCCATAAATCATGCACCCTTAGCAACATAAAAACAAAGGACTTTTACAATTTTTTTTTCTGCATTCAGAGTGACACTGAGGAGGAACAACTTAAATGTGTGCCTGAATCCTGAGGCAGCAATGGGTAAACAGCTGATTCGATGCTGGAACAGGTAAGATCCTCAACCAACAACAGTGGTTAACAGTTGACAATTATAACAAAAAGAAACTTTTAAATATAGTAAAGGAACCAAGCAATGACTTCGTTATAGAAATAAGTTAAAACAAAGCTCTGGGTGGGATCCACCCATCTCCGGTTTCCCATAAATGAATCATACCCATATTTGATTGTTGCTAAGCCGGTTTTGGTAAACAGAGTGCCCAGTTTATCCCTTTGTTGACCTTTTTTACATCTCAGCATTGTTGGTACTTAAGTATCCTCCCAGTCATATTTGTGATGTTAATTCTAGTAATCATACAAATGCAAATAATGGACAAGAGTTTATAAAAGCAAATGGTTAAAGATTACATTTTAAACTAGCATTGTAAGGCATCCATATCACTTGATCTGACAATTAAGTGTTTTTCTTTTCTTTTTAGAGCTCAGAAGTTGGGTAGAGATGTGAAGGTATGCCTGCGGAGGCGAAGAAGAGCTGTGCCCCGTCAGAGGCCCCAGCAGAAGGCAAGGAGGCACAACAGAAGGGCCTCATCCTCTAAATCACAATAGCTCTGCAGGTTCAAAAACAGAAAAAAAGCTACTGTGTGAAGCAGTGTGTTCAGACTGCTTTTTGCTGCATTGTGGACTGTTATGGTGAATGCTGTTCAGCTTTTCCTGCTCAAATATTCCTCAATCTGTTATAGCATTGCTCATCCTCGTGCTCGTTCTCTACCCATCTGAGCAATGAATCTGTATTAGTGGGCAGCATGGGGCTTCATCCCCGCCAAGACTGATTTTAATCCTTAAAAACAAAGCCCTGGAGGCTTGGCATAGGTGGTGACAGGTTTCGCTTTGAGGCATTTTAAAATGGTCAATGAACTGTATATATGATACTCTGTTCAAGCAGCTGGAAATATAATTTCATGTATTTATTTTTACAAATGTTTTATAAAAATGTATTATGTTTTACAAATTGTTTTATAAATAAATGCTAAGGAACAAATCTGTGGCTGTGGTTCTTCATAACTTAGTCTTTGATAAATCATCATAATCAAAGGAAGAGGAGGATGTCCTTGCCTAGCAGGACATGAGAGGTCACTAAGACACTTTAGCTTAAAAGTTACAGGAAATGAGTCAGCAGCAGGCAAGACAAATAAAATACTCTCTCTTAAAATATCAAAGGAAGGAGCTGTGTTGCTTTTGAAGCCTGGTAACATCCAGATAAAAAAACAGAGCCAGGTTAATCTGTTATTCAAAAGCCTAACAACATAGATCACGAAGTAGAGTGATAAAGTTTTACATTTTTATTGCTAGTGGGACACAACAGTAATTCCTGTTTGCATGAACCACTGTATTTTATGTCAGCTCAAAGATATGCAGCCTCAGAGGTCTTGTAAAATATTTTGATAAGATACACCCAATTACAGCCACAAGAAAGGACTTGTGCAAATAACACAGTTATCCTTCAGCCCTGTGTTCTAAAAGCAAAGCATGCTCCAACCTGAGCTGGTCCTGAAAAAAAAAAAACCTAACCATTTTTGTAAAAAGTGTTGTGAAATCGTCTTGTGACTGTTTAATCACCAAACCGTTGAAAGCACATGGTCGTGAAATGAAAAGTGAAAGCTGTTTGAAAAAGAAAGGCTTTGTTAAATGTGGGGGAAAGGGGTTTTCCGTACCTGAGGAGCTTTCAGTGAAAGTCAAATATTAGTCTGCTTCTGGGCCATGTTAAATATTAACAGTTAAATTAACTGTGAGAATGTTAAAAATCCTAATCTTCCTAGAATCTGAGAAACACTACTCAGAGTATTACTACTTAAAGTAGAAGCAAATGCTTATAAGTAACACTTCTTAAGTAAATAAAACCTCTAATCGGATTCTATGAAAGATATGATGGAAACAAAAGTCAACACATCCTCCTGATGCAACACAAGATGCTGTAACTCATTAACACGGTACTCACACACTATATTGCTATATAAAATGTTGTTAAACATAACATCAAACATTTCTAGATAGCCATTTTCCCCTCTGTTAAAACCAAAATCGTCTTTTATTATTCATTAAAATTTTGTTTTATTGAAAATTAGAGACTTACAAAAATACTGCATCTGCAGTTGGTTTTAAATATATAATATTAAGGTTTGAATAACTTTTGATTTGCTATTTTTTCACAATCTAATAATACAGCAGTTACAAACGAGAATATTTTAAACAAATTTAGAATTTATTTGTTGAATTTTTCAAACCTATAGAGGCTGAAAACTGTATACATGTTAAAATCTAGATAAACACCCGCACTAATTTGTGTCTAAATATCCCTTATCTCAGGGGTGCATTCAAGTCCAGTCCTCAAGCGCTACCATCCTGTAACTCACAAGTCGCAATAAGGAGCTACTCATTTGATTAAGGTGTGTTAAAAATGGAGTACATCAAAAAGTTGCAGGATAGTAGCACTACTGGACTTCGCAGTGAAAAATGCTTTTGGTAGCGGCACAGATGCCTCTGGCCAAATTCTGGTAAAATATTTAATTATTTGTGTATTATTTTGGATTTGGTATGCTTCCTAGCAGGGACTTGTCTTGTAGAGATAATTGATGAGGTTTGAGTTGGGGCCCATTCCAAACGCTTGATGTTAGCCTGCTTTATGAAATTCTAATCGAGTTGATGTGTGTTTGAGATCATTGAACTTTTTGAATATACAACAGTTATTTTACACACTTGGATGTTTTTACATCGGGTAAAACATCATGCAGAAAGTTTTTGGGGCATATGGTGCTTGATGAGAAGAAATTCAAAGGGGAAAGCTCAGTTGCTTTTTTGGCATTACAGTGTTAAAATGTAGTGTAGGGCTGAAACAATTGGTCAGATGAATCATGACTAATTGATTATTGAAATAATTGTCAACTAATTTAGTAATGGATTAATCATTAACTTGTGTGTAGAGATTAAAATGTGTCTTTAGCTGACAGAGCAGCCCACTTAGAGCAGCAATTATGCCATAATTATAAAAAAAAAAATCTGTCAATATGCTCTATCCAGATCTTATCAAGTGGAAAAGTTTTAGTTTCACCTGGTTTCATTTCCTTAAATTCTGATTATTAATCTAAAAATAATCGACAGATTAATCATTTTGCTAAATAATCATTACTTGCAGCCCTAATGTAGTGTGTGTTTACAGTATATAATTTCTCTACTCCATAAAACCCCATAAGATAATGTTAAACTAATTCCTCTTTGGATTCAAGCTCTTAATTTCTTCTTCTACCAATTTGGGTATCTCTTATATCCTCTATTCCTGCTTTTGGATGGGTGAACCACTCCAGGGTTCAGGTAAACTGTACTAAGACTGGCAGGAAGGTGTAACTCTATCAGGGTATGGTTGCCAGGTCCATTTTAGTCACAATCTGCTCCAGAAACTAGATTCTAGCGCATTCAAAAGCTTTTTTCTTTACTCAATTTCACCAGTCCCTCTGGTGGTGAAACAAACCCCTTTGCTAGATATAAAGGTATAGTACCTGAGAATGGTGAATAGCCTCACAAGAAATAAAGCGGGGTATGAAAAGAGGTCTGAAAGAGCACAATAAATTAATTTTCTTATGCTAAAAATAATTAATATATACATTTACAGGTAATACCATAAGGATTGTATATGTTAAATATTAGGTAATGACTCCCTTAAAGCTACAGTGTGTAACTTTTAGCGACATCTAGCGGTCAGACTGCAGACTGCAGCAACATGAACATCTCCCCCCACCGCTTCTCCCCCCCAACAGTACGGCGAGCGTTACGGGACAAAATGTCTTCCACGACGTCCGCTTCACCTACCTTCTCAAGTGATGAGGTTTGTTTACATAGATAATTTTACAGATAGTATTTCATTAGTCTGTGTAGGGTATAGATTTCATGTAGACTTAAGATAATAAATATACCCGTTATTTTTTCTACATCGTTGTGACGTTTTGGCGATCTCGCAATCACTAGTTTGTTGGCTCTGCGCTGCCGTAGCGCAAAGATGTCTGCCTCGATGGCTGCGAGACCCGCTCCTATGTAATTATAAATAACGAATTCTAAGGCAACGCAAATATTAAGGTTAAGAGGCTGAGCTCGTAAATGATGATAAATAACATAGTTATGTATAATATATTACATTTCTGACTGTATATCCCTGTAATTATTACACACTGTAGCTTTAAAGCATAACATTGATTCCCTCGGACATTCTGTGCCTCATAGTTATATGGCACATAGTTATATGATCTATAATCTACATTCAGTCTTTGTCTAATCTAATGTTAACATCTTTCACCAAAGGAATTTTGCTTATTTAGAATAGAGCAGCTGCAAGATGTTTTCTGCTTTAAGCTGGAGATTTTTGATATAGACACTTCATTCTTAAGTGGCCCCTCCTTAGTTTGAGGAAAGGCAAAACTCATTTCCTGTTTGGTGTTGCTTAGAGGTTACAGTTCAGATTAAATAAACAAACTGTTCCCACTGTCTGTCCCACTCAAACAATGATTTAAAACAAAATTAGATTTTATGTTGGATGGATAAACCCAGGGTAATAATCTTTTTTTTATTTTTATGACAAATACCACCTTATTTTAAATGTGTGACATAGTTTTGAACCTGGTCCGTGTCGGGAAACCAACTAATTTGTAATGCAAGCAAAAGCCTGTGATTTCTCAGCTTCTTGTGAAGCAAAATAAAGCGAGAGTAAACTTACACTTGTTCAGCAAATGAACCTTTTTTTAAACAAAATTCTCTAGCATTATCTATAACTATTTTAGTAATAAAAGACCCAAAAATATAAAAATGATGCCTATGTCTCCAAGTTGAATGGTTTTAAAACAAGAACTGGTTTAACAGAGTTAACTGACCTCATGACTGACTGATTATTGCCTAAAATTATTTTGTAGCCTAATATAATGAAGCATGTCTGAGGAAAAAAAAAAACGTTTAGCAAAAATGGTATTGTTCTAAATCCTTTTCATGAAAACACTATTTTCAAGAACACCTTTCATGTTGGTCAAACAGCAAAATTATCAGGAGACACTTCTTTGTCAAATATTAACCATGTTTCCTCTGGATGACTCAGGCGGCAACTGGATAAACAGATAAAATCACACAATATAATGTTTGCAGTTCAAGTCTTTACATCTGAAGGTCTGCATATCAAAGAGAGGATCCTTCACAGACCAATCTATTTCCATGTTAACATAAATAACATCAAATCTTAAAGAAGAACCCACGCACTTTTCTAACCAGGCCTCTATACAACATTTGACAATAAACACTCCCTTAGTCAATGTTAAGGTCGAGATCCTGTCTGTACTAAAGTGTCCTATAAACGCGCTGCAGCCAACAGACTGGGTGCTGTGCAGAGAAGGAATTCAGGGTAATTTTCAGGAAATCCACTCTGATTAAAACAGCAGAAAACACACAACCAGTAAGGTTTTCAAAAACACTGAGGGACAAATATTGAAGAAACTTGTTAAATGCAAGATCTCTTTAAGCAGCAAATTTTGACTCAAGGTTCAGCCAGAAATATATTAAATGAATTTTCAGGTCAAAAGTGTGCACCAATCATTTGTGTGGGCTGCTCTTCTCACCTAACTTGGGAAGGTTGGATCAATGTCTGAATGAGTCATGAGAACCAGAGCTTTGCTCTACAGCAGTCTAAGCTCAACTTAAACACACGAGAAAACTAAGCTTCTATCTAATCACACATATTTTGGCTCTCTGGTGTAGGATTTCATCTGTATAATGAATGTGCTCTTGTCTTTACAAGTAACTCAATAGCTTCTCAGTATGCTGTTCCAAAGTGATTTGTTATCAGATTCCAAAACACTGAGGGAGTCTGTATAATTATGCAACAGTGCAGTGTTCCCAGTGGCCTTCAGGGGGAGTAAACGTGGAAGTTACAGGTCTAGCACCCTTGAAGGGAAACTGGCTATATTCATACTGCAGGCTCATGTGGCCAAAATCTATTTTTTTT